ACTTGCCTGGTACAAGCCAACCTGCGACATGACATAAAAGGATGATGTACTTCCTTGTCTCCTGAATTTGTTTCATAAAACAGTAAAAGAGATGAATTGTTATCACAGATGTCCAAATAAATGATGAAACGCTAGAAAAAGTCGTTATAAAGCTCTGAACGACGCAGAATGAATCAGAATCGCCTCTCTTCTGTTCACGTAATGCCAGATAGTTTGTGGTTCCTAAAACTGCCCCACTTGCTTGTAAAATGTCGGCAAACGTGAGACATATCAACAGAACTCGAACAAAATATAACCGTCTGACGAAGATATGTGACAAAATGAGAGCCACTCCTCCAAGAATAGAAGCAGTTCCACTGACTAGAGTAACTACCGATATCAAAATATCCTTTCTCATATTTGTGAGTAAATTTAAACTACAGGAACAAATAGTCAGATTTTAAGCGTCCTGCATCACGATACTCTGTTTTTTTGTAGATAAGATAAGCTTGTTCGTTGAAGATGCTATTTGAGTATAATACTCAAATGCATATATAACCAGTGAATGAAATTTATGCGCTCAAAATATCTTTCATTTTATATTTATGAAAAACTTCACATATTATCAAATAATTTCTAATACAGTGCAATACGTAATATTTTCAGAAAAAAAACTGAGTTCAGATACCAATATTTACAACAACGTGAAATGTTTTCATATTAAATCTATTGTTCATGTATGTAGCTATTATTAGTCTTGATAGTAATTTTAAAGATTCTATTGGATGGTTGCTGACCAATTAATTGGCACACCTGTACATTTTATCTGACTAGTTATCTGTGCATATTGAACTGATAGATGAATATCCTTTTATGTCCATGCACTTCGTCGATATACTGATATAACATTTAGCACAAATTAAGTGGGCCAGATTTCAAATTTTATAAAGCCACGCGAGAAATAACTAAAATAATCCCCCCCCCCCCCAAATAAATAATAAATTAAAAAAAAAAATAAAAAAAGATTAAAAAATGGATCCTTTAACACATAATAGGTTAACTATTTGAAGTTTATTGTTCGTTTGTTTGTTTGCTTAACGTTCCTTCGAGAATTTTTCATCATATTTAGATGCCACCCTTGCCGGTGGAGGATTGCAAATGTAAACCTGTACTGAGTACTTATAGCCTTTTGAGCAGTGAGGATCTTTCTCGTTTCAGTACCTACTGCGACACAGGACCTCGGTTTATACGGTCTCATCCGAAGGACCAATCTCAAAGTCTTGCAGTGGGATTCAAACTCGCGACGTAAGGATCAGCTCCTTACTCCGCGACCCTAGAGCAAACGCTCTAAATACTGCGTCAGGCGGGCGACTATTTCATATATTTGAAGTTTAAAGGAAGTAATGAGAGTTGACATAAAGAGAAAATTTATTTAAAATACCTAATCTAATTATCAGTAAAAAGTAATTATAATGAGCTCAAATAAAAAAAGAAAACTAGTCGGAATACTACAAGGTAAAAATTATTAAAAACACGTTTTCTTCGCAAACTCTGTGTCATAATACAAAGGATGACTGCACTTAACGCCTGTTTTTGGGTCTTTTTCGGTTGCTTCTGTTGCTTTTATATCTAAACTTTATTTCACTTTTGTATGTTTATGAAAGAATCCTGTCAATTTGGAACCAAATTTAAATCTTAAAATGATTTTAGACTGTGATACAATAAAATGATTCAATGTTTTTTGTCCTTAGTGCTTTCAAAATATAGTGAATTTACACTTACCTGCCCTTGAATGAACATTAGATATGCATAAGAGGTGGAGCTAACATTGTAAATATGGGTTTAAAATTAGACTTGATAAATAACAATGACATGTTTGAAAAAAAGAATGTGGTTACTCTTTCCAATCTCCCTCTCCATTCTGTATGGCACAAATACACTTCTGACAAAGGTTTCAAAACGAAGCTAACAATATGAGCACGTCAATGTAATTAAAGCAGATTGTATATCCATGCCAGATGACTTAACGTATTCGAACACAATGTCCTAGTTAGCACAAAACATGCTACCTTACAAGTCACGTGACGGAATTTAGTATTCACAGAGTTACCTGAGGTAGGACATCACGTGGTGAATTATAATATTCAACATGTCGCAATCCTTGTTTACAACACAGAGAGCGAATGTAAGAAGAAGCAGTTTTTTCTCTTTTTAACCATGAGCGCATGTTTGTCTATTAATCTCCTTTTGACACATTATTATCTATGCAAATATACAACTATTGTGAAACGGAGAACAATAGACAAACATGCGCTGACTACGTATAAAGTCAGTAAAAAAGTGGGCGTCCTCATTATCGTACGGAGATTCAAGAAATTGTGATGACCCCTGCCTTTGAAAACAGATTCGAACTTCGTAAATACACACTTTTATTATAAACGTAATTACATAAAGTTGTAGATTGGATGTTGGCCATTCTTGCAATGAAAAGAAAAATGCTTGTTTTGAAAGTTTATTTTGTCGCAGATTTCGCATATCCTTAAGTGAAGTCATCCTTTATTTCGAATTTTGTTTATCCGATTTTTTAGCTGTTTCTGGATGTTTCCAGCGAACAAAGATTTTTTTAGACTGACAATGATTATGGATGTGGAAAAAAGCCAGTTACTTGACATTTTATATTTAATACTTTAGGCAGTACTTAGCAAAGACAACCAAGACAGTAAGGCAAGTGAATTTTTTTCTGTCCGAGATTTAAAAAAACCCCTTTAAAATCAATTTAAAAATATGGATTTTATGGTTCAAGGCAACGCTCTAAAAGAAGGAAAATTTCACACACTGGATGTATACCAACAGGGTCTCTTCCAAAACAACATATTTTGCTGTATGCATTTTCTTTCAATACATAACAACATTCATTGCTACTTTCCTTAAGCTGAATGAGGTAGTGGGAGTAAGAAGGGGCTATTGGCCTTTTTATTTATTTTTTTTTTTTGCATATTGTCTCTTTACTCGTTGTATCCACCACGCTTATAGATGGAACTCTGACGTTTACAAATGTCAAGAAAGGCAGACCATTATCTTAAAATCCTCTTGATGAAAACCCTCGCAAGTGCGGATAATTGATTTATTACCAGTTTGACAACAATACCAATATATCATAGTAGCTTCTACTGAAAGTCAATGAAAGTCTTATACATATATTTTGTTTGTTTGTTTGTTTTTTTTTTTTGGTAAAATTTCTTTTTCAAACACTTCGTATTATTTTGCTTTTGTATTATATTTGATAATATAGGTAAACACTAGTAATGTATTCAGAAACCACATTTTCTTGATTAAAGCACAAAATTGAACCGTTTTTGTAAAATGTGAAAACAGAGAACGCATGAATTAGCACCGCTTTTACCGCACACATTTGAACAATCACATGTTAGCAACTTTATGCGGGCTGTTCTTATTGAGAATTTTACTTTTACTCCATAAAGGAAAGAGAAAAAAGCATGAAAATTTGTCATCATTTTATCAAGAATGAATAAAACAAATGTGCAAAATTTCTAAGTAGGATAATTAGATAAGTCTCAGTGAAGTATAAACTTGCATATGTCCATTGACCTGGAGCAGCATCGTTACTTCATTATAACGTCACGCCAGACATAATTTTTTCTCATGTTGAAAGGATTGGGAAATGTTAACTCTTCTTTTCCTGTCATCACATATAACATTCTAGAAAAAAAACTTTCTCTTTCCTTCAACGATTCTTTAAAAATAAAATGTGTGTCGTGTTACCAAAAGTAAAAATGCAGTACCGATTTTTGCACCGCGGTTCAACGTTATTTAGTCCTTAATAACTGATGGTCGTATGGAACCTTTGATTTTATTCTGATTGAATTATTCATAAGAAAAAGTATACCAATGAAAAAACAAACTCTTAGCCATTTTTTTTTTTGCGTTGTTATTGTTTTCGTAGGTCGTTTAGTCTGGACAAGAGTTCTCCACAGCGCTGCACAAAATTTTTAGGTGTGCACGCTACGCCGCCTTAACGTCAAAATCCATTTTGTCGATGTAATCAGATTTTCATACCGTGCTTACTTTTCCATATGATGGCGCATAAATCATTTACAAGTAAAGATCTTCTTTTGGCTTAACTATCGATTCATAGGAGAGAAAAAAGGAAAGACAAAAGTAGAATGCTACTTAAAAATAGTCGTGCATGTTGAAATCAATTCGTATTCGAATGAATTTTTTAACAATATGAGTTATAATAATGTGTTGTTTTATATACAGTACATGGACTCTTTACAAGATGGAGAAGAGCAAAATGACAAATCATGTCATTGTCAGCAAGATGATACAGCAGGAATTTTTGTTGGTTTTATCTGTCTCAAAAATAATACATTAGGATTGGTTTAGTCATAAAGGTAAGGTTTCGAATAAAATACCCATATTTACTCTACAGTGAAAGTGAGAGTAACTGTTCATTTCCATGTATTTAACAATGATAATTTAACTTTAATAAGACAAAGCATAATGATTGGGAAACAGTTTTAGAAATTCCTATCAATGCATCACCCTTAAATTGTTACCTTTAGCAAGCTGAATAAAATACCTTTTTGAAAGAAAATGTCTAACTTTGTATTTTTGTAAATTGTAATGAAATACCACATGTACATCAATTTCCACAAAGAAATTGTTATGTTTATTGTAATATTGTAAGGACATATAGACCTTCTCCAGGTGCGGATCCAGAATTTCTTTTGGGGATGGGATAGGAGGCAAACTTAAAAAAATTAAAATATCAACCAACTCACAATGTTTCAATATTTGTCCATACAATTTGATGCCATAAATTTTATTTATACTTTTATTGGGGGGGGGGGGAGGGAGTGCACCTCCCCCTTATTCTGCAACCGCATTCATTATTGTAGTGTATATTACATATAGCCACCTCTCATTATATTTTATTATAAAACATCAACATGCAAAATTAACTAACATGTCCTAAAATAAAATGACATTGTTAGATATGTTAATCTTATATAAGAGATTTGAGTATTAAGAGATATATTTCCAACAATCAGAAGTTAATTCTCTCTCGCCGGAAAATAAAGCAGAACAGTAACAAATTCTGACCGTTCTTTTTTATGAATCCACGCTGAAATACATTTAACTTCCAAAGTAAACAGGCACTTAAGTACCACCAGTTTGAATAACATAGAATTATTCTCTGTTTCGTCCATAATTATAAAGCTTGTAAAACTTGCTATGCTATATACAGAGTAAGTACAGGATCATATTCATTAGAGCATAAAATTAAAGATTTTTAAAACTTAATATCAAGCCAGCAGTGATCAAATGTTTAAACTCCGGACACATTATGGCCCAAGTATTGTTTTGTTTCATATTTTTGTAATTTTTGAAGACTTACACACTACAGATATATCAACGTTTTGTTTCAGTTTCCCCTTGATCTTCGTAGGGTATTAAAGCGGTTGTCTTTTCTGTGACATATACTTGATAGATGTTTCTCCGAAAACCTTTATCAAAAACACAAAAAAGAAGGAAGTTTGCAAAGGCTTGGGCACTATCCCCTATACAATGAAAATATACCAAAACAGAATCTGCTTTGACTACAGCATGATTTTCATATGCTTTCGTAATTGTAAAGATGAATCGTGTTGATCCCCAGAGCCTTAGGAGATACAGGATGAAAGGTGTATAACAGAACCGCTCATCCTCTTCCCTGACGATATCTGAATTCCAAAGGCTAGGATCATTTCGCCTCCTCTATGAACAACAGACCAAATTATCTTTCATAAGAAATTAAAATAAAAGAATAAAAAAACAATTTATTATCAACAAGATAATAATGCAATTATTCCTTAGAATTGCAGTAACATTTCGAATATTTCTTACCCTGAGACAATTATCCAGCATAAGTATTATGTACAACGTTCCTGCTACTAGATATGTTGCAAACTCCCATCCTTTCCCTGCAAGGAACATAAAGGCTATGTCTGTGGAGGTGATATTAGTTGCGTTCACTTTTATCCAACACCACTGACCACTGGCTATCATTCCATAGTTTTTGGTACCCTTACTGAAAGTCCCACGTCCGAGTTTGTCACACTTAAGTGCAACAATAGAAATGATCACTATTTGTAGAAAGAGAAGAAAGAACACAGTGTAAAGGAAGGATGAAGATTGAAATGTTCTTCATATATATGTAATTTTTGCAAAAAATTAAACCAAGATGCAACCCAAAACAAAATTTTAAGGCTTCATAACAACTATCGTCCTTTCTGTGTGAAAATTTGATCTCAAGAGACAAAATACTGAAGTGCGTGTAAATTGAAGCTAGTCGTACATTCTAAAGTACTCTGTTTATTCACACTCAGTTTCGTCTCTTTTAAAATAAGCAAACTAGATCTGACGACTTGCCTGGTACTATCCATCCTGCAAAATGATATAAAAAGATGATGTACTTCGATGTCGTCTTAATTTGTTTCATTAAACAGTAAAATAGATGAATTGTTATCACAGACGTCCACATAAATGATGAAACGCTAGAAAATGTCGTTATGAAGCTCTGAACGACGCAGAATGAATCAGAATCCTCGATCTTCTGTTCGCTTAATGACAGATATCTCGTGGTTCCTAAAACTGCCCCACTTGCTTGTAAAATGTCTGCAAATGAAAGGCATATCAACAGAACTCGAACAAATTGTAACCGCTTGATGAAGGTATGTAACAAAATGAGAATCACTCCTCCAAGAATAGAAGCCGATCCACTGATCAATGTCACTACAGATATCGAAATATCCTCTCCCATAATTGTAAGATTAAGTTGTTAAAATCATTTGTTAGATTTTAATTATCCTACATCCCGACAATTTACATTTTTGTTGATAACCTCATCTGTTGAATGCGCTACTTTACAATTATTCTCATTTGGATCCGGTCCTCAATTGAGGAGTGAAGGTCAACAGATTGAAATGTAGTGCATGAAGGAAGATCACATGCCTTACTTTGATTGACAATGATAAAAACAGCTTACTCATATGTGGCACTTGTTGAGTAAAAAAATTATAAAGGTTGAAATACTAGTATCCAAAATTTTCAGTGATAGGTATCAAAGTGGGGTTCAAGCATTGTTTAAAAGGCTCATTATTACAACTGCTTTTAGAAAAATGGTTTGAATTCCAGTATCTAGTAACACAACTTACACTCACAGATCCCTTTCAAAGGATAAAATCCTTCAAAATCACTTTTCAGTTTAATACTTTTAACATTACAGTCAATGGAAGCGAGTTTGATTTCCGTAAATATACTGTATTCAAAAATTCACCAAAAATCTTAAAAATAAAAACAGTGATATATTGCAGGGTCAAGTAAATGTTTAATCAAACCCACATCCTTACTTCTCAGTAAAATATGTTTTTAAATTTCATGATGAATAAATCATGCCCTTGCAACACAACTTTAAAAAACTCATCTGGGGAAAAAAGCTTTTAATCAATATCTTAAAAAACAAAATTGAACTTAAGTCCTTCATTTTAAAAACTAACTGTAGCAATATAGAAAGGCAAAGCTTATTGAGAATATTGAGGTCAATAGACTGGGCAGGCCACGATGTTGTAATTACCGGTATGTTGTTATTAATGATGTATTTTTCTAATTAATTTGCTCTTTGAACCTCCCGGGAGCATTCTCGTTCATAAATACATACCGGTTATCTGGAAAATGGCTGGCTTAAACAGGCCAAATGTTGTTTCTAAAATTTCAACATATTTTTTGCATTTATTTACTCCCGTTTCTTATATACACATACAACCTTAGATCATAATACAGACACGGCTCCAGGAATTTTTTCCAGAGGGTCACCCCCCCCCCCAAAAAAAAATCCAACAAACCCTTCCCCAAACGTGAAAAACCTATTTCGTGGGGAGGGGGGGGTGTTAGTCGTTGACTTCCAAAGCTTCATTCCTATGACTTTTCATACCAACTTTACACAGATCCGCGTTTTCTAGGGTGGGGTGGGGTGGGGTGGGGGGTCCAAGGTCACTTTTAGTTGGTTTAGTATATACATTTAATAACTCTGCAAGTTCCAAAAAGATCCGCCATGTAATACTCAGATGTCGTCGAGATGGTGGACACACTGGCTGTGCACTGTACTTTTCATCGTCTTTTCTCCTTATCTAATCTTTCTTATTTATTCCAATTTCTATCTGACTTTTATCATTTAACACCTGCTTACATGTATTCCATTCACGATTAACAGTCCAATTTTTTCCTCTTCTTGCGTCACTTGCAGGGAGCTTTTTGTTGGCCTGGCGAATAGCGACTGTTTTCTTGGGAACTCTCCTTTTGTATCCCAGCTCTTGAATTTTTCTTTTAATAGAAAGGGAGTCTAGCTAGTAATAGCGCTCAGAACTACTTTAGCGAACAAGCTAGAAAACGTGACGCATTTAGCGCAGAGATGGCGAATGATTACGTCTCTTGACTGTATGCATGATAAAAATGCTTCTTGTTTATACTAATGACGTCACATGGAAAGTTAACTAAAAAGCGAAATGGAATATCCATACATAGCATCTCTGCTACCAATCACACAGAAATTATGATTGTATTCCCTGTTTCAAAAAAAAAAAAAAAAAAAAATTCTCACAAGCATTAACAATTGTCTGTTTCTATACAGTAAAATTACCGTGTAAGCAATGTATACTTGATATTGCTGCAAAAACTTTTTTCTTCAAAACTTTTGAATATTTTTATCTTATATGTTGAAGCTTAACAAGTAAATAAATTGCACAACTACTGATGATTAAAACATCGTTTAGCATCTTTATTAACAGATACTTTGACATAGTCAATTGAGTCATGTGACATGTCCTGCTTCTCTTTAAGTGCCACCTGTTTGATTGACATAAAAGTATTCTCTTTATTTTATAACTGAATTCTTCTATAACTAATAAGCCAATGAACGAAAACTGACTCAGATATATACAAGTTAAGAACTGTGTTCTTTTCATCGTTAGATATAATTAAAGATTTTAAAAACTTAGTAGTGATCAAGAATTCAATTACAGTATACATAATAGTCCTGATTGCTTTTAAATTCTTTACTCTGTAATTTTTGTCGTTATAAATATTACAGTAATATCAAAGTTTTGTTTCAAATTCATTTTGCTCTTTGTATCAATGGTGTTTCCTCCTCTCCTTCATTGCAACACCCATTGAAGAATTGTTTCCGAAAATCTTTATCAAAAACACAAAAAAGAAGAAAGTTGGCAAAGGCTTGTGTACTATCTCCTATACAATGAAAATACACCAGAACAGAATCTGCTTTGACTACAGCATGATTTCCATATGCTTTAGTAATTGTAAAGATGAATCTTGTTGATCCCCAGATCCTTAGGAGATACAGGATGAAAGGCGTATAACAGAACCGTTCATCCTCTTCCTTTACCGTGCCTGAATTCCAAAGGCTTGGGATATTTCGCCTCCTCTACAATAGACCAGATTATTTTTTACCAGGATTAAAATATCAACTTATAATCACAAGGAAAATAAAATAAAACCATTATCATTGCAATTACATGTATTTACCCTTAGATAAGTTTTCATCATAAGTATTATGTACAAAGTTCCGGCTATAAGATATGTTGCAAATTCCCATCCTTTTCCAGCAAGGAACATAAAGGCTGTGTCTGTGGAGGTGAGCTTGGTTGCGTTAACCTTTATCCAACACCACTGACCACTGGCTATCATTCCAGGGTCTTGATCTTTTGTACCCCTATTAAAAGTCCCACGTCCGAGCTTTCCACACACAAGAGCAACAATAGAAATGATCACTGTGTGTAAAAAAAGACTATAGCATACAATCATGCAACGTGTCATTATAATATCATTAATGATAGAGATTGAAGTGTTCTATTTAAAATTGACCTTTATATATATATATATATATATATATATATATATATATATATATATATATATATATATATATATATATATATATATATATATATATATATATATATATATATATATATTAGGGATGTCAACGAATAGTCGACTATTCGACTGTCAGTCGAATGGACCGACGATCGAATAATGAAACGACATTCGAATATTATAATTTTAAAAAAATGCAATAAAAGAATGATAACGATATGGAATTCTCATTTCAAAATTGAGAAACCGTCTTTCCTCGGAGACAGTTGATAAGATAATTTTCCTCTACCAAAAAAACTTGATTTTCCATGTGCGTATAGAAAGTACAGTAATTATAAATGCTTCGCTACCGCGAGAATTAATTATCTACCAGTTACTGCTTGTGTTGTTTTTGTAATAAATCAACCATCAATATATATCTGGGCTTTGTTTGTAAAATAATTAATTGGACTTGATTTTATACGATGTACCAATTATCTTTTATTTTAAGATTGCTCAAATGAGAGGAACACGTGACATGTTTTGACGCTTCGATAATTATTAGAACAATTTGCTTGCATTTTAAATTGTTCATAATTAAGGACATTTTGATAGCCAGAACAATCAATAAATGAATAAACAGTAACTAACTGCTTATCAATTTAACAGCCACCTGGCGTTTGGATAGTGTGAGATTACCCCCCCCCCCCCCCGATTTATTTCACAATAAGCTTTAAAAAAATATCGACTAGCAAATTTGAATGCTAACTAGAATAAAAACTAAGTGCATGTACAGACCAATTTATGAATTCGATTGATGGGGAAATCATGAATTTGGGAATATTAGATTTCTAAATTTATTTCATATAATCTTGCTATCCAACGTTACGCTGCATTAATTTTTTTTGTTACTTTTTAAATAGATTAAGGGTTTTTGAGTTATAAATGCGTCATGTACCAGTGAAGTTTGAAATAAAATTTTATTTTCAGAAAATGTTCCGAATATTCGACTATCGTTCGAATAATGCAATCGAATAATCGACTAAGAAAAATAAATATTTTGACATCCCTAATATATATATATATATATATATATATATATATATATATATATATATATATATATATATATATATATATATATATATATATATATATATGACATATGGCTTTAGGAGACCAAGGAGGATATATTTTCTGGCTTAGGGAGACCACTGGATTAAGGCGACCTTTTTCGGTCTCCCTATTATTTTGACCTCATCAGTATTGCAAATGTCTTTTTATAGATAAATAAACAGTCTGCCATTAAATATTATTAATCTTTAACTCTGTTATTTAACATTCAAAAGTTGTCTAATTCCTATCATCTTCCCTAAAAAAGAAAAGAATGTATAACCTACGTATAATTT